ATTTACAGTGAGGAAAAATGAGCCTTTGAAAAATTAACACATTTGAAACAAGGTGCTAGAAAGAGCAATCCATAGCCTTAGGTCTTTGTCAAATTGAATGCACATGCAATTTCATATGATTTTTAAAAATATATCCTATACATACTACCACTCTAGTGGAATATAAAAGGAGTGTTAGTCTCTCAGTCATGTCCAACTCTTTGTGACCCCATGAACTGGGGTCACAACTGGAGGCCGCCAGGTTCCCCTGTCCACAGAATTTTCCAGGCAAGAATACTGGAGTGTGTTGCTATTCCCTTCTCTAAGGGATCTTCCTGACCCAGGGATCGAACCTGAGTCTCCTACATCGCAGGTAGAGGCTTAACCATCTGAGCCACCAGGAAAGACCCTAATAGAATATGTACTGTGCTAGTGCTTTGCTTAGTCGCTCAGTTGTGTCCGATTCTTTGTTACTCCATGGACTGCAGCCAGGCTCCTCTGTCCAGGGTGATTCTCCAGACAAGAATACTGGAGTGGGTTGCCATGCCCTCCTCCAGGGGATCTTCCCAACTCAGTGATCGAACCCAAGTTTTTCACATTGCAGGCGGATTCTTTTCCATTTGAGTCACCAGAGAAGCTAATATAATTATTTATTTATGAGACAGCTTCAGCTTTTAGACTTAGTTTCTTTAGGGCAAAGATAGTCTCTGAACTTCTTTGTATGACCTATGGAATACAACAGATGCTCAATAAAATTTCATACAAAAATTGATGAAGATTGGCTGGGGAATCAAGGTCATTTAACTGGAATATTGAGGAACTGTGCATTGTTTGTCAATTCAATTTCACAGCTGCAATATCATCAGTCAATAAGTAACTATTTAACAAATAGATATTAAGTACCTGGTATCACATGGACCACAGACAATTTTATATTGCATAATTAAGTCTAAATGGATACTAACCTGGAAGAGGAAAAAATTTGTCTCTAGGATTTACCAAGAACAATTAATTTCTTTTTTTGTCAGGGCTGCTAGATTGGTAAATCAAGGGTTCTTGCAAACACAGTGTACATTAATATCAGTAAGATATCTGACAGTCTTCCATGATGTTCATGGCATGAACCAAGAATGCACACCAGATAAACAGTAGACTGGATTAATAGTTAACTGAACATCTGAAAGAGCGCTGATTAATGGAGGTCTCAGGTGATGAGTTGCAGGGATTATACTTGACGTTGATCAATGATCCTATCAATGACATACACGAGTCCACACTGATTAAATATGAGAATGGTATAAACCTAGCAAGGCTAGCTAATATACTGGAGGACAAAAATCAATACTTTAAAATATCTTTATTGGCTACAAAAATTGGCCAAGCCAACAAGCAAATATTTAACTTGGTGCAATATAAGCCAATAATGACAGCTAATAAAAAAAGTTTAGGCTGCATTAACAAGTGCAGAGGACCAAGACCAAAGGATCTAAGAGTCCCAAAGATTTCTGTGTTTTCCTGGCCACATCTGAAACACAGTACCCAACTGTGCATGGCATCCTCAGCAGAGGGCAGTTGGAAGTTATAAGTTCAGGAGACTTGAATGTAGGCAGAATACGACTACTAAGAAGGCTAAAGATGTCCATTATAAGACTAAAATAGCCAGAGGAGTTTATACTGAAGAAATGATTACACTTCTCAAGCTTATGTGCTTGTTTTCTTCATCCTTGTAAAGCCAGCTCTGAGCACAGAGCCTGCCTCATGTATTGAGTTGAATAAATATTTGTGGATGAAGGTGATAGCAGCCGTCAAATATCTGAAGGGCTAAAAGGGAGCTTTAGATGCTGTGTCTAGGTAGGTTGATCTTATCTCTGTGGTCTCTGCTAAACAATTGTCTCCTAGTTTTAAGCTAAGGTTTTTGGCTGCTTCTTATTTTCTCCCATCTTCAATGCCACTCTCTTAATCCAGACCCTTGCCATCCCTCACTACTGTAATCGTATCTTAATTTGTCTAACCATCTTCCTGTTTGTCTGCCACCAAACTGGCAGAGCTATTTGCTCCAAATACAGATTGATCAGCTCATTCCCCAGTTATGGCATTTTGATGGTTCCTATTGTACACAGGATTCCCCACTACCCACATACTACTGCTCATTCTTCTGTAGCCCAGGGAAGGCAGCACTATTCAAGCATAACTTCAGAACCCTTCCTAACATAGATCTGCAGACAGCTACTACCAATCATAAGGTGTGAATACAGGATGGAACCTATTCATGCACAACCTGGCTCCAGTCTGCTTTCCAGATTCATCTTCTGTCATTTTCCTTCCCATCTACTCTCCATGTCCTGAGCTTCCCTAACGTGCCCTGCTCTTTCCAGCCACTTTACCCCTGTGCAAGCTAACTTGTCTATAAGGAAAACAATTTTTCTTCCGTATCTGATCAATTTGTATGAATCCTTCCAGAACTAGTTCAGATATCATTTCCTTTTGGAGACCTTTTGCGAGCAGCAGAGTTAGAAAAGCTTCTTTTTCTGCTCTTTACGTTAAATTGCAATTATCTATTTCTTTATGTGTTGATGTCCTCCTCCCTAGAATATAATTTTCTCTGGAATGGAATCACCTCTTAGTCATCTTTGTAACATTCCTAGAGCTTGAAACAGTAGCTAGAACAAATACTCACTGAGTGACTGAAAGACTGTATAGATGACTAAATGAATGACAGGCCTCTAACTGTAAATAAGATAGGGTTAGAGCTCAGAGTTCCTGTCTATGAGCACTATTGCCACAGCAACTTTCTTAGACTTACTAGGACCCAGGCATGTTGGAGAGTTCAGAATTTCATTGATAAAAACAAGTAATAGTGATGATGATGATAGCTAACATTATTGAATGCTAATTATGTGCTGAGACAAAAACTGCTTAGATTTAAAGAACAAGGAGCAGAACAAATCTTAAATATGGTTAAAGATAAGAACAGAATAAAGATAATTCTGAGTATAGTTACACTTTGATATGTTACCCCGAAATATGACAACTGTCTAAAACTCCACCTAAAGAACTTTAGATCATTTATTAATACAGAGAGGTTAGAGCCAAAGGAAAGAATATTCCTTACACATGTCTGGGCTATGCAGCAAAGAAAAAAAAACATATATTTTTTCTGATATCATTCTATAGTGGCTCCAGTTACAATTATCCTAAGAAATTTCTGTCCAGGTCAAATCTACATGGGTGAAAATTAGTATCAGGTAGAGTCTTCTAGTGTTCCAAAGGATAGCCATATGATCTAGAAAGAAAAATAAGCCTTTGGTGACAAAAATTTGAGGAGTAAAAGTGCTAACTGTTGTATGCTCCTCTTAGAAACTTACAAGGTATGTTAGTTATTGGGGATAAGAAGACAGAAGTAAGAAAACCTATTCAGTATGGCTTAACCCAGACTTTGTCACATGCATTTGAACCATGAATTTTTTTTTTTATTAGAATGCTTAGTATTTATTTTCATGGAATTAGAATCAGAAACATTGGCTTTGGAGGCTCATAGAAACAGTTCTGCACTGGAATTCTAGCAGAGGGCACGTGCCAATGCAATGAAGATCTATCTGATTCAGAGAAGGTAAGACTGGCTTTTGTCTGGGCCAGAAGAGACTCAGGCCTCGTACCATCATTTACGTGATAGAAATTCAACCCTTTATAAAGGCTTGGGAGAAAAAGACCAGCTCTTAATCAGTCCTTTGAATTAACAGTTTTGTTACGGCTGTCTCACACAGTCACAGGAATTTATATTTTCATTTTATCCCAAAGAAAAACTTGACCATCTTTCTTTAATACTATCAACCTGGAAGCTTGACAGTAAGGATTAAAAATTGCTCCTTCCTTCCCACTTGGTTATTGGAAAGGCTCTGAAAGGTAATCAGTCTTGTGAAGCTGCACTTTACAGTCTGCATAAAAACGCCATGATTTTCCTTCCTCTCCCCAACCTAATTGAAAGTGCATAATATCACCCAGCTGGGGAAATGTAAATGGTAAACATATACAATATATCATGCTATCACACAAAAGCTGGTTACTAATAGGGACTGGGTGGTTGTCAGGACCAAAGGGAATCTGGAAAACAAGTCTTTTTTTTTTTTTTTTTTTCATCTAGAGTAAGAGTTCTTTGTGCCTGCCACCCAGCCACCCCCCCACCCCCCCCACCCCCCCCACCTTCTCCCTCCAGACTTCAAGTTACAGCAGATTAAACCAAGGTCAGTCAGCTCGTTCCTTGTGTGTGTAATTCCAAGGGTCACCTAACAATATATATTGACTAACACTCTCTTATACCAGCCTTTCAAGAAATGAGGCATTTTGCTTCTGGCAGGAGGTGGGGTTGGGATGATCCTGTTGCCTACCTACTTTGATTGTGCTGACAGATGGCCCTATTATCTCTTTCCTTGGTTGCTAAACCTTAAGATCTTTGGCCTTGTCACCTCTTATCTCCCTCTACTTCATCAAACTCCTTTTGCAAAGATTATCTCCTTTTCTACCTCTGATCACCTAGGAATATCTACACATGATCACACATGCCTTCAGCAGAAAATCTCAATCTTTTCAAAGTCTTCTGCAATTCAGAGGTTATCTACAATTAAACCAACTTAGAAATCAACACTCTCTTCTCTGGCCCCTCACCTTCAAGAGTCATGCCATCTTCTAGAATCCATCTTTTATAGTAGGACTCTTAGGAGAAAGGATAACATCCCTTCAAAGAGTTCATCACTAGTTCTGTTATGGCATTCCTTCAAAAATTGCTCCCTGTTGCCTCATGAACTCAACTACTGCTATTCATTCATGCCTCCTTATAACTGGCAATTGTTTTATTTTTGATGGCTGATACCTTACGGGTAGGTCAAAGCATAGCACTTGTCAAGAGTACTATGCCATTTCAGTTTTAATAGGTCGAAGGATATATTTTTATCTGCTTCAGCAGTGGAGATGATTTGAAACTTACTGAGTTAAAACCACATTCATCTTTCAATAAGTTACATTACCTGTCAGCTAGTACTGGTGGATGGTATGGCTTGTTGACCTTGGCATAAAGACTTTCTAAGTGGTCTCTGTCTGGAGACAGTGGACGGCCATCTCGAGGGTAGCCCAGCGGTCCAGCCCGAGGGGGAGATGGAGACCTGTAGACGTTTGCTGATGTACATGGTTCCCGGAAGTGGTTCACTCTGGCATAGTTGGGGTCCACTTCATCATCGTCCATATCATGCAGTGATCCAATTGCACCCGTAGCATAATCAATAAGACCTCTTGCCTGCTTTTCCCTTAGCTCCTGATGTTTTGCTCCAATCCTGAAAAATGTAGAACAAGATGTATGTGGGTTTAAATGCTGATACAATGATAGACTCTCCTGAGTCTATGTTAACTACTTCTTGTCAGTTACTTAACTGCCACTTTTCTGGATATTGAAGATCACACCACGAAGAAATGCTAATATCAAACTCCACCGGATTCATTTTATATCTTTGAGCTTTATTTATTACATTATTCCCCAGTGGCTCAGACAGTAAAGAATTGGCCTGCAATGCGGGAGATCCAGGTTCGATTCCTGGCTTGGGAAAGTCCCCTGGAGAAGGGAATGACAACCCATTTCAGTATTCTTGACTAGAAAATCTCATGGACAGAGGAGCCTGGCAGGCTACAATCCTTGAGTTCACAAGAAGTCAGATATGACTGAATGACTAACACTTTATTTGTTACAGGGTCTGGAAGATCCCCTGGAGAAGGAAATGGCAACCCACTCCAGTATTCTTGCCTGGGAAATCCCATGGACAGAGAAGCCTGGTGGATTGCAGTCCATGGGGTCGCAAAAGAGTGGGACATGACTTAACAACTAAACAACACCAGCTTTACTTTTATAGCAATGCTATAGGTATTTTAACATTTTGTCTGATGATGACTAGGCTGATTGCAAAGTCAGAGGCTGATTTTTATTAAAATTTCTTCCCTATAAATGGGCTGTGCTCATGGGAACAGTCCATCTTTGGTGTAATATTCTAGAAGCCGACCTTGGGAAAAGGGATGCATGTCAGAGAGCCCATTAGAATCTTATACTTTGTCTGTGATTTTCTTATTTGGTGCCTTCAACTTTTAGTGTATTCTTCTAAAGAAAAAAAGCTTGCAAAAATTGATTTAACTATGAAAAAGAAATACAGAGGCTTTCTGGTCAGTAAAAGCAGTGGTATCAGAGATAATTTATAAGAGACTCTAAGTTTTTGGTTACACAAATGGGGATCATTGTGTTTCATTATACAGGGACTAGGGACAGAGTAAAATAGTGAAATTAATAGGCTCCTGACAGAGACAAATTGGCACATATAAGTGAATTAAACACCATTACTGGCAGAACTCCACAGCACTAAAGCCTTTAGTGATATTACAAAATGCTATTGCTAATCAGTGTACTGTGTAGACTACCGGGAGTGGGAACAGTAAAATACAGTTCAGTGTATTCCAAACCCATCTGAATTTTGAGAATTTGACATTTAATCTGGAAAGTGTTAGATTGGATCTTCTAAATTCCCAGTTACATGTTAAAATGGACAAGTCACTGTGGCATCTTAGTGGATGATAGTGATATGATGGTGTCTGGAGGTGTTCTCCACTAAAGAGGAAAGAATGCAGTCTCATATCACCAGGCAAATAAGGTGCATTCAGTACAGGAGGAGAAAAGTAAGACAATGCTGGCTCAGGTGGTGAAAGAAAGATTCAAGAAAGGATGGGGATAAATCTGAAGACCTGGGCTCAGAGAATATGAAAGGATTGCGGGCTAAAAGTGAAAGATCTATATCTGCCTGGAAATATATATTGAAGGCCTACATGAGTGACAAAATAAAAACTGAATTCTCTATCTTTTCCTCTTCAAATAAAAACATCTGTTTTTGCACACAGCAGCTAGTTTTATTTTACAGAACATCAAACTCTTTGTAAAAATCTTTAAAAGCCACGATCTTTCAAGGTATTTTCCTTTTAGTAGAATGGCTTTTTTTACCCCCTTTGAGTAGAGAGGAGGAAGAAAAGATAAAAATATGAAGAAGAAGGTATAAGACAAAAAACCAGTATCTTCAAGTCACAACAGATGAAAATAAATGCCACAATATATTACTGCATATCTCTTTTGACTAGGTCAAATTATGTACCCTACACATAAGTAATGAGACGAATTTATATTTTGTGCAAAGGGGAGCTTGAGTCTCCAAGGGATGTTGAATGAAGATGAAAGGAAGATTACACAGTAGGGTACCCGTTAAGAGGCCCTGCCTGTCCTCTTTCAATGCACGTTAGTCCCAGATTCATGGATGTTTGTTTTGAATAATTTTTGATGAAGAAGATAACATGCTCCATTCTGTAACAAAATAATCTTTCTAGGGATGGTGCAGACTGGACTATCAGAGGATGCTTGCTGCACTATGATGGCAGGGATGGATATCCATTGCAAATAGAGAATAGGACATCAATAAAGTTAGGGGGTGGGGTTTTGTGTGGTTGCTATTCCTCCGAAGTGGGAGACCTTCTAGAGAAATCACTCAGAAAGATGAACATCTCAGGGTTGCCACACAGGGCTACACTTATGCATTAATGAAAGAGTAAAATACCAAGCTTGATTTTTCAAAGAATCACAGAAACAGAACACAAGACTCTGTATTCCTTATTTCATCACTTCTCTTTCTCAGAGTCTCATTAATTAAGCTTGCTGAGTATGTAAAGATTCTCGGATGAAAAGTACTCCATATATGCAAAGCAGTATTTTATCTTGTACTTTTCCTTTCTAAAACAAAACCAAATTTCTCCTTGATCTTCTCTGTGCCACTGAGTGCTTCAGTAACTAATTTCATATTAATCACTCAGTAGGTGAAATAGTAATTTCTCTGAACTGCCATTATCATGCCATATATCAGGATCTCTCCATGTGGGGGAGGACAAGGCAATCTCTGGAAAGGGGTATGTGGAAGCAGAAAAGACTCTCTCAAGGGAGAAAAGGCAAGGAAATGGATTTTCTTTTTTTGGTTGTTCTGACCTCCCTCTGTCCCAATTCAGTGTGAGAATTCTAATTGTTTATAGTCATTTCCACATAGATGTCTCTTTACCACTGGGAACTCAACCTGTTAAAATATCTATTTTTCAAAATAGTCCTGGATGATATTCCCTTTTTATTGGATGGTACCACCAGCTTCCTCATTGTCCCCAGCACACTGCCTTTGAATTGTTTCAATCCCCTCCCTCTGTTTTCCCCTACAAAAACATTGTTGTTTCTTTTTTCCATTATAACTCTTGGATGGTATATTTTATTTCCATTTCTATAGCCACAGACTAGTGTCCAGGCTTTATATTGCCTGGTCTGCACCATCCAGCATAGTGGGCATTAACTGTATGAGGCTATATAAATTTAAACTGAAATTAATTTTTGAACATCTAAAATTCAGTTTCTCAGTTTCATAAGCCACATTGCAAGTACTCAATAGCTAAATGAGCTCAGGACTTCTATACTGGACAGTCCAAATGGAGGCTAATTCTATCACTGCAGCAAGTTCTATTAGGTTGTGCTGGCAGGATTATGCTAAGATTTTTTGTATGTCACCACATCCCACTTTATACCTTAAAAGGTACTAGAATAATCTTCTTCAAAGAGTATTTCTATTGCATCACTGTCAGATCAAGGCTTTCTAAAAAATGATTGTGATAAATGATGGCACAAGAGTGTGGTTATTCCACTTTGTTCCTTGAATTCTTAAATGAATGAATGATCGAGAAATTGAGAAAAAATTCCATCTACCAAAGAATTAGGATACAGTTATAGTTTCAAACCATGCAATAAAATTTGAACTCCATCCAAAACAGGTAGGATGTCAAGAGTCAATATATAGCTTCTTCTCTAGCAGGGTAAACATTTTACTAAAAAGTAAGAGAAAGAAACCAGAGAATTACAGACAAACTTTTGATTAGAAAAAGAGAGTTTAAAGACAGGGGTAGGACACTGGAATTGTAGGGTAAATCTTTGTGAGGTTCCAACCTGAGAATGGAGGAGAGATAGAGCTAAAAGAGAGAATTTCCACTGAGAGAGAAATTTCCTTCTACTGTGAAGAAACTTCATGGAGGTAAATGAAGAGAAGAGAAAAGAACATCAGTCCACTCTGTAAATGATAAGGCAGGATGACCAGAGCAAGATAAACAAACACAAACTTAGCAAAATAAAACCTTAAATCATCTAAGAGACCTCACTCTTGTGATTTAGCTGCTAAGTCAAGTCCAACTCTTTGCAACCCCACAGACTGCAACACAGCAGGCTCCTCTGTCCCCCACCACCTTCCAGAGTTTGCTTAAATTCATGTCCATTGACTTGGTGATGCTATCTAACCATCTCATCCTCTACTATCCCCTTCTCCTTTTGCCTTCAATCCTTCCTAGCATCAGGGTCCAGGCTGATATCTTGTTACAGCGATCTGCTCTCCCAAAATGTCAGGTCATGGAAAAGCTATCAAGGTAGTGAGCTCAGACCAGGTCTGAAGACATTTTGAGAGAATATATGGAACTGAAGTGGCTCGTAACCTTAGCTCATTAAGCCTTGTCGTATAACACTATATTTTAGTATAGATTTAACAAAAAATACCATAGAACATGAAATTAACTTAATGGATCACAATATGTATTCAAAAAATTAAATACAGTAAAAGAGAAAATATTAGAGGTCCTTGCATGCAGTAAGCATAAGTATGGTGTCAAGAGAAAAACCAAGTCATCTAAAAATCCAGGCAAATTCAAGCTGGCCTCAAACATGAATAAAGACAAAAGAAAAACATTTCAGAAAACATTCCAAAAAACATTTCGGAAAAGAATGCAACACTTGTTGACCCATCTTGAAAAATTACTTAATAATGAAATGCATCCAACCAAGAATTGAATTCAGATTAAGAATTCAGCCAAGCAAAGCTGGGGAATGACAGACATGGAGGTGAGAAAAACATTCATTTAAATAGAAAATGAAGGCTAAACATTTATTTGTAGGACAAATCATTATAGAAAAATGTAAATATTACAAACTCTGATAATATAAAAGTAGTATCATTACACTAATAAGGAGGTGATTTGGGGGAAGTATTAATACTCAATGTACTTATTTCCCCATTTTTTAAAGAAAGCATCAGCAGTTACCACTTAAAGTTAATAAATATATGAAATACAATAACAAAAAACCAATGAAACAAATTATGAGCAGAAGAGAAATACAAAAAACAAAAGCCCAATGATAGAGTAGAAAATAAAAAACAGAGGAACCAGTAAAAAAGAGAGTAAG